AATCACGTGATTTTCAAAAGATCGGAATCGGGAGAAAAAAATCGGGGATCGGGATTTTTTTTTAAATGTTTTATTTGTATTCAATGTTACAAAACAAAAATGACCATGTTCAAGTCTTAAAGTCATCCTGAGGCCTTAGTTTTGGTTTCAAATGACACAACATCATGTATGTGTTGCTTCTTTGGGGCTTGTTTTCATAGACCTGGTTGCTTATTTCTCTCAAATCTGGCAACAGAGTGGGCAGGGCGCAGTGTCTAATTGTAGCAGTAAGCTAACGAGTACTGATAAGCTTTATTTTGTTTTGATCCAATGCTGCTGTGAAAAAAAGAAGCTATATCCATGTTGGATAGAATATCCAATTTAAATTAAAAAAATAACCTTAAGGGACAACTTGAATGCTTTTTTTCTTTTTTTTCTCTCAATGCATTGCATAAAGATCGGATCGGGAAAAATCGGTATCGGCAAATTGTCAAAATCAAATGATCGGAATCGGATCGGGAGCAAAGAAAGGTGATCGGGACATCTCTACAAATATGTATTAGTGTTCAGACAGCACATGCACTGTACCTGATATAGTGACCAGGACATTGAGTCCCTCCAGGACGTCCATCTGCTGGATGCGTCTCCTGTTGATCAGAGGGTAGACCTTCCCCTGTCCGCTCCGGTCCAGCAGCATCAGACCGCTCTCTGTCCCCACCAGCAGGTTCACTCCTGGAACACGGACAGACAAGCGTATCATAGTGAGATTTAAAATGCCATGGCCCTACGGAGGTGTTTCTGAGTCCCTGACAGTGGCATGTTTATAAACCCTGCACTCACCCCAGAGAGCAGCACACAGGATCTCAGAGTTGAACCTCTTCTTGTACTTGCGGATCTCCGGCGTGTCGCTGGGCGGGCGCGTGTTGACCGGGTTGACGTTGACAACGGAGCCTTTACGGGACGGGTCGGCCTTCAGCGGGTCTGCCAGGCGTCCATCGGGCCCAAATGCTGCTGGAGGGGGCACACAGAGGTCAGGCTGGATGCCGTTGTGTATTCAAATATTAATGAACAACCTGGTGCTTGGTTTAAACGCATGCCGCTGTTATCTGTGGGTTTAACTTCACTCAGTTGATTTACCTTACTCCCTGAATGGAAACACATTTTCATGTATTTAACAGATTCTCTTGGGTTATTGTTGACGTACCAATGTTGTTGAGGGAGCTGCCGCTGGATGGAGAGATCTGGAGAAGACGAGGGTCGATGAACGGAGTGAAGGAAGAGGAAGACTTGTGTTTGGACATGGAGTTGCTTTCTGACTGGGACTGAGAGAGATTTATGGACAGTTAGAAAAGGTTCGGTAATTCATGATTCTAGAGAAACTGGATTTAATCATTAAAGTAATTTACAACCAGCTGGTTAGAGAACAGGCATTTGATCCAAAAAATGATTGTTACATTGATTTGTTAATTATAAAACTGTTGAATTTAACTACGATAACAAAAGCCCTTTCAGTTTTACACACATGAGTTACAGTTCCACCTCTGGGGGCTCGTAAAACCGCCTAACTGTGTTCAGACACAAACCACTAGGACTACATAGCCACTGCAATTCAAACAAATCAAGTGAAAAAGATGGCGTGCAGTTATGTTATTTGTTATGAAGCCAACGATGACAGAAATGTCAGAGAGGGGAAAACAACAACATGTGCGACAAGAAGAAACGTGTTGTGAGGGAAATGAGAAAATGTTCGGGGTGCTGTGAAGTGTTAGAGGAGAGAGCTGCTCTACTGAAGCTCAGGGGAGTCGTTATTCCACCACCAGAGAGTGTTGTTGTCACACCACAGAAGAGGCGCTAATCTAAAATAAAGCGTTCAAAGTAAATGCTCTGCAAGTAGGTCGCGTGTGCTCGCAAATATAAAGCCCCATCTCACCACTACCATCACACCAGGCATGCCATCACCCAACACCGCTAAGAAAATGGTTAAAGTACTGTTAGTGGTTCACAGCTCCAGTTTAGTGCAGTAACCATGCTCTACCACCAGGGGAGTCAGCAGCACAGACGGGAAGACAGGGAAGAAGGATGTAGCCAGAAGGGAGCCAGAGGGAAGGGAACAGGAGGGGGGGGAGGCTGGAGAGGCAAAGAGGCTCCCAACAACCACCGAGGACTGGGCGGCAGGTGTGTGCAGGCTTGGAGATGGAGATGGAGGTGTTTGAGGTAAGTCAATAAGATCTCCTGAAAATATCAACGCCTGCACCACGAGCGCCCACTCCTCGGCTGTTAGCTCCGCTGATGTGAGGGCGACATACCTCTATGGCAGTGAGCGTGTCCAGGGGGGTCTGTGGGGACATGGCAGGACTGGCATAGCTCGATGATGAGGGGAAGGAGGGAGAGGAGGAGGGGGAGGAAGGGATGGTTGTGGTGGAGGAAGGGGAGTGATGGCTCTGCTGGATAAGGTCTGGTAGGTGGTGAATGCGGCCGGCAAAGCCGTTTTTCTCTGCGAGGCCGGGGGTCTGGGGCTGGCCGTGGACGTGACCAGGGCCAGCCGAGGGTGAGGAAGATGAGGAAGAGGAGAGATTGACCAACCGCTTAATGTCAGCGGTGCTCTGGAAGCAAGAACAGGCACACTTTGGGCTCGAGCAAGCAGGTGGAGATGCTAATTCCTGTCATGATTTACTCCCGTTCACAATAGTTACATCTTTGCTGTGTTTGTCACCTAACATCTATATCAAGGTATTAGAATACCGTCTCTTCATGTATGATGAATAAAAACATACAAAGGTTATATAAAGGAACAGAGGTAATGGTGGAGAATGAGCGGATAAACATGACTGAAACTGGACAAAGAAAAAGGAACATGACATTTCTATTAGGGATGCCAGCGATTATTCGATTTTTCGAATATTCGTCTCCATGATCCAAAATTATTTTTAAAATTCAATTTTATTTATATATATTTTTATTATTATTTTTCTTTTTTTTCCTGGCTTAGTTTCAACCAAAATATAGACTAATGCTAATAATAGTAATTAGGGATGTCCCGATCACCTTTTTTTGCTCCCGATCCGATTCCGATCATTTGATTTTGACAATTTGCCGATACCGATTTTTCCCGATCCGATCTTTATGCAATGCATTAAGAGGAAAAAAAGCATTCAAGTTGTCCCTTAAGGTTATTTTTTTATTTAAATTGGATATTCTACCCAACATGGATATAGCTTCTTTCTTTCACAGCAGCATTGGATCAGTTCAGTTGTGCAGCATTGGATCAAAACAAAATAAAGCTTATCAGTACTCGTTAGCTTACTGCTACAATTAGACACTGCGCCC